TGCATCTGGTGTTCAGCAGGGCTCAGGGAAATGCTTGTGCACGAAAGCTGTCAGCAGGAGCCGTTTTTCACCCAGCTCATAACCCGATCCACCCTTGAGAGTCATTTGTTGCCTTGCATGCGTGTCACAATACAATCTCTGTATCTTGGGGGAAACTGTAAAATCCTATCTAAGAACCGTTTCCATGTCCCATCTGCGATTATGGGCCTTGTATATTTAAGTAAAGCAGGCAGTCAAGCCAACACAAATGTTTAGAAAGCCTCCAAATGTCCAGTACACATTATTAACGGCTTTTCAATTGTCTGCTACACAATACATGAATGGTGTCTTGGTGTGTAAGTCTTGTTTGTGTGATTTAGTAACGGATTATTCGTCGTTAGTCAACGAGGAGCTGGAGTTTGTGTGCCCCTCGAGGCCTCCACTCTTTGCCCCTCACCTGTGTGTGGTAATGTGGGAATGAAGGATGACTGAGAAGAAATGCCAAGCTGCAAGCACGGTACATGCCGGCCTGATGCAAACACTTTCCTTTCTTTGTTATCCAAACTGTTTCCTCCGCGCAGCACGAGGCATGTTTCTAATTATAGTCCAGCAGAGAGGCACAGCAGGCTCCCGTCAACATGTGATTCATGGTGCAGGTGACCCAGAGACTCTTCCCTACACTCTTAAAAATAAAGGTGCTTCTCGATGCCATAGAATAACCTTTTTGTCTAAATGGTTCCATAAAGAACCTTTAACATCTGAAGAACCTTTCTGTTTCACAAAAGGTTCTTTGTGGCGAAAGAAGGTTCTTCAGATTATAAAAAGATAAGTAAGAGATGGTTCTTTAAAGAACCTTTGACTAAATGGTTCTTTGTGGAACCAAAAATGGTTCTTCTATGGCATCGCTTGAAGAACCTTTTGAAGCACCTTTATTTTTAAGAGCTGTTTTCAGGAATATGAGCAAGATTGCAAAACGTGATATTGATTTTATACAAACATTAAACAAACAAGAAGTATTAAGGGAAGTATATTTTAGAAACAATTTTAAAAATTGTTTTTGCCATTTCGGCAACAAAAATAGTTCCAAACAAAACCAGCAATCCATAGCAACTGTTGTGTTTCCGAGCAACACACAGCAGTGATTCGCTACTGAACGAATCAGTTGAATAAATGATTCTGTGACTCACACATTAAAGCTGCAGTATTAAACACATTAAAGCATTCTGCCATTTTTGCCTCTTTGTCGCCATCTCTGTTTGAAAACCTGCAATTGCAGTTGTGTGCGGAATTATCTAGCTTGCGTGGGTTGTGAGTTGGCTCGGCTCCAGTGCGGATGAATCTAATGTTCTGAAGAGTATGTGTGGCAGTCAGTCACCACACCGGTGTGGATATTTACTGTACTTCGCAATAACAGATTCCAGCCTACGTCTTGGAATATGACCCAAATAAGAATTTTCACCGTATATTGCCATCTGAACAAGTAAAGTAACAAGTCTGCCACATTTGTTCTGACCAACTGAGGAAAAAAGCATAACCATAAATCTCGCTACCAATGGTGATTAAATCTAAAGTTCGGTTAGCTCATATCACATCAAACCGTTCGAATTATTATTATTGTTATACTTTAGGGCTGCACGATAAATCACATGCGATATTTAACGCGCATCTTATCAGTAAAGCCGGTTCTGTAATCAGCGGTAAATCTCCATCACCTGCGGGCTTTCACATTGAGCAGCATTAACTACACAGAGCCGTTGTTCACTGACGAGCTGCGCAAAATCACGTTCATATTCGCGCGATTTTTTTGCGCAGGTCCTCAGTGAACAACGGCTCTGTGTAGTAAATGCTGCTCCATGTGAAAGCCTGCACGTGATGGAGATTTACCGCTGATTAAAGAACCGGCTTTCTGACAAGATGCGCATTAAATATCGCATGCGATTTATCGGGCAGCCCTATAAATATACTTTATTCTCAAATGATTAATGTTAACAACATCAGCATTGGTGACTATGAGTATAGTGTGTATAAGCGAGTAGATTTCAATTTCTGCACAGTCTAATCTAATTGTCATACTCTTTGAATTTTAAGAAATTATTTGAACCCAAAACACAAATTATGCTCCCTTCGAACTGGTTTTCTTTAAAATACAAATCTTTGTAATCCCAGGCTATCTGTAATCAAAAGCACATTTATAACTGGAATATAATTTAATTTCATTCACATGTGTTTCATAAACACATAATCCTTTCTGGATTACAATCTGCCATCAAAATTATACATTTAATTATTCTGGCTGCTGTGAGAAAAGGCTATAAACGATCGGCCACCTGCAGGATCCTCACATGCGATAGCCTAGTAGCCGGGACAACTTCTTTATGTTTACAGAAGTGACGTAATGACGCAGTGCCATGCTCGAATTTCCCGCAAAAACCTACCCGTACCACTCAAAGTAGAAAACATTAGTATAAGCTAATCGTCGCGAATCGGGCTAAAGTAAGGCGATAGTTTTGAACACTGGCTGGTTATGTACTTGCTCAAATATTGATTTCGGATCATTTTTAACTAAAAAAAAGTTATGGACTGCAGCTTTAAGTGATTTGCCACCACCTAGCCAACTGGTGGATTTTGTTTGATATTCATATTCAATTTATTTTCCATCATATTTCTATATTCAAAATGTTATTTTTAAAACATTACTCTCAACAATATTTATGCAATTGTAATTGTACCAATTTAGATGCAGCTTCTGTGCCACCTCTGCAGTGCAAAGATTAATTCTGTTGGTCATAATTTCATTTGATTGGTAACAGCTCTAAATAGTGTCTTATAATTGTATTTAATGATTAAATATTAGATATTTTTCAGGCAGTAAATGTGGATCTTTCAGATGAATTTCTGGAGTGTTGATCTTGGTCTTGTCTTGGTCTCAACACACTCTGGTGTTGGTCTCGACTTGGTCTCCGTTTAGGTGGTCTTGACTACAACACTACTTACAGATTTGAACAAACCACTAACCTCAAATTTTGGCATGGAACTCATCCTGCAAACTTGAAGGATGGTACTTGAAATTATGTGGCTTGTTTACTTTGTAGATGTTTGGATGATAAAACGGCTAAAAATCTCATTGACCCCTATTGATATAAAAAAACAAAAATATCTTAGGGGTAAGCCAAAGTTATCTTTATATTAATACATCTTTATAAAGTGTGGATGGATGATAGACAGATATTATGGACGGATGGACAGATGTAAAAAATAACTCTGCGTTGTACGCATGCTCCAGAAGACAAACCAAATGTTGCCATATTACCAAAGTCATTGTTAAACTGCGCTAATGCCCTGTTAGCAGAGACACTGGCCACAGACTTGAATTACACTGATGTATAAACTTGTTCATGAAGAGATAAATTACCAAGTCAGATTATTTGTCATTACAGCTCTTGTATAATGCATAATATAGTGTACTGTAAGCAATGACCACAGTACAGCTGAAGTCATTAACTATAAACTAACACATGCTTTCTAAAAAAGCATATGAATTATTTAATAAAACTATAATTTCACAGCTGTAATTAATTACCCATTTATGATGCATAGGCCCTACTAAAATATTCACATTTATTCCCTGTTTTCATCCTAAGGTAGTTTTCTGGTCCAACTAAGGCCACATTTATACGGCAGGTCTTGATGCCCAGTTCCCCTTGGTGTTGGCTATAACCAATTTTTTGATGACCAGCTTACATCTTCTTTTAAATGTGACCCATATCCGATATCTGCATGTACACTCTACACTTGCTGAAACAACGCAAGATAGACATGCAGACCCGAAAACAGGGTTGCCAGGTCTACGAAACAAAACCAGCCCAATTGTTAATCAAAACTAGCCCAGTCGCGTTTTTTCCCTCGCTCAAAATCACATTCCAGGGGGAGGAGGAGATCGCTTTAACCCACAAACTAAACAGTGGTAGCAGTGTCAAAACAGCCCTATTCCACAGGAAAACTGCAGAAAAGTGTCCACCTGAGTTGACTCAGTCCCCACCGTCGTTTTTTTCAATGACGTATAACTCACATTGACAGGGGAATATCCAATCTGTCCCCTTACATGGCAAATGCACATGACCCTGGACCACAAAACCAGTCATAAGGGTCAAATTTTTGAAATGGAGATTTATACACCATCTCAAAGCTGAATAAATAAGCTTTCCATTGATGTATGGATCATCATGGGGAGCACAAAATAAAGAAGTCAAATTGGGCTTCGGGAGCACTTCCAAGACATAAAAGAGCTATGAAGGTGCCAAAGGTCTTTTCAATACTCGGACGTTTTCTAGGGGGCAAAATGTCTTTGTTCCTTTGTTTAAGTGGAGTGGCTTGTCTGGTGGTCCGATCTAATGGTATTGTATCCTTATGTGCAGGTCACACATGCTCAATCAAACACATGGCAGGCTGCTCCCATATTACTAAGAACACGTTGACATTTTCCATAAATAGCGGGAAGTACTTCAGATCGCTATACGCTTTGAGAAAACATGACTTCCTGATGATGTAGTAGGTCTATATGCTGATAAAAGATGACAAATGTGTCTGACTGCCATATGTGCATCCTGCATCCTATTGAATGTTAAGCACGAGTGGAAGCTTTGTCAGTGCTATAAAAATATATTGGGCTCACCATTGAGATCATATAAGCTATGGGCCTTTGTGAGAAGTTCTGAGAAGTTTTTAACAGCAGATACGGTTTTATTAAGGATTTGTGGTCAAAAGCGGCATTTGTGCCTCACAGCCAAAAGAAAGAGGAATAGATTTTTACGTTTTTTGAAGAAAATGTCAGTGCTGCTTGCCAAGTGAAAAACTCACCGTCTAGACCAGGGGTCTCCAAACTCGGTCCTGGAGGGCCGGTGTCTTCCAGAGTTTAGCTCCAACCCTGATCAAACACACTTAAACCAGCTAATCAAGATCTTACCAGGTATACTTGACATGTCCAGGCAGGTGTGTTGAGGCAAGTTGGAGCTGAACTCTGCAGGACACCGGCCCTCCAGGACCGAGTTTAGACAACCCTGGTCTAGAAACTGCATGGAGTTGGCCTTAGAACTTCACCAGAACACGCTAAAACTGATGTTGAGTGGTGTTCTGGGCAGGAAAAAAAAAAGTCAAAACAGCATACCAGCCAGTCTCAATGAATTAGCTAAATGTACTGCAAGTCTACGGTAGGCTACAAGTGATTTTTGAACCCGTTTTAATGTGCAATGCTTGATTTGAGAGATTATCTAGTTTTTACTGACATCTACTGTTGAAAAGTGAAATCACGCCGATAGTGTTCAACCAATTGATGATCTTATGTCAAAATGAAATTATTATATTATATTAATGATATTATATTACATTTTATATTATCTTTCATGGCTTTAGCAGACACTTTATCCAAAAGAAATACCGTTTGAGCTACAGAAGCCTCATATTATATTGTATTATATCACATCATATGGGACCCAGGCATAGACTTTTGTCTGCTTTTTAGGGATATCAAATGTTTGGAGGTTTGATCATAAACACTCTTTCTCCTTGGTCTTTAAATATGACTGATATTGACAGAATGATCAGATTTAGAACTCTTTGGGAAACATGATAATGTTTTGTAATTATCATTTAAATCTGGCTAATTTTCAAATCGTTTGCCTTAAATAGACATCTCAGAAAAATGTTACGGGGTTTCAAATTGGAATATGACTTTTTGTTCCAAAACAGGGCATAATGTTCATACATGTCTTCTGTACACTCTTAAAAATAAAGGTGCTTCACGATGCCATAGAAGAACCTTTTTGTCTAAATGGTTCCATAAAGAACCTTTAACATCTGAAGAACCTTTCTGTTTCACAAAAGGTTCTTTGTGGTGAAAGAAGGTTCTTCAGATTATAAAAAGGTAAGAAAGAGATGGTTCTTTAAAGAGCCTTTGACTGAATGGTTCTTTGTGGAACCAAAAATGGTTCTTCTATGGCATCGCCTGAAGCACCTTTATTTTTAAGAGTGTAGAGGACACCAGGACAAACATCATGTTAATCAGACATTTTGGGGAGACACAAGAAGTCAGTAGGGAAAGAAATTATAGATCAAATATTACTATGAAATATGAGATATTCTCACAAAACTGTTGCTAAGTTATTACTCCCATTATTACATGTATTTTTTTCATTATGGTTTGCCCCATGAACACATTAATATGCAAATCAGATGCATAGTATAGAATATACTATACATTGTATAGAATGGGAATACCAATTTATGGACATTTTACACACATATTCCATAAATTGCAGTAGTATATCAAATCATTCTGTTATATCTTTCATGACATAGTTAAGAATCATCTTTGTACAAAATGTGGCTAAAATTAGCCTGAAACCTAAAAAATGATTGGTGAATGAAAAAATAAAATATTGTCTTTGCCTATACATGCCTTTTCGTGTCTATTTTTATTTATTTATTTATGAATAATTTAGTCCTGGCATCCTCTACAAAGGACAGTTTAATATGAATATAATATAAATATATATATATATATTTAATATAAATATGAATAAAATATATATTTTTCAAAAATGTTCATGTTCAATGTTCACAAAGAGACCTAGTGCGTTTTACTTTACTGTTTTTCAACCCAAGTAGTAACTCAGTATAATTTTTCATATCTATCTGAAATAACAAAAAGTTGGGTTTTTCTTTCTCAGTCCCACAGAAATCACACATAACATCTACATCAGTACGAAATCTAAGAAAAAGAGTTTTAACAGGGTGCATTTTCAAATGTACTTCTCTCACCTTATTTGTTATGCAATATTTTTTAGGCAGCAACCATGCATATTTCCAGTCAGTGCACTCAAATTTAGAATGCCAGTATGTTTGAGAAGATATTGGGCTATCTGCTAATTGACAGCATTTTATTTCTCTTTCTAAAATCCTGATTCCGTGAAAATAATATTTGTTAATGTAAAGAGTCATTGGGTTACAAGTAAAAAATAAAAAAGGAGATATTGGGCATCCCTGCCTTATGCCTCTTTCTAAGAGAAATCTGGGGGTAGTGCCATACTGGGCATCATACACTAACTAGGTTATTTCTACAATGTCATTAAAAACTCAAAATGAAGAGACTCTACATCCAAGCCAGTAGGTGGCAGTATAGAGCATAAACAATTTTTATTTTGATAAATCTCTTTTTCAGTCCTGATGACCTGTCAGAAGTGTTGACGGCTGGAACCAAAGAGTCTCATGACAAAGCAGAGAACTCGCCATTTGTCAAGGACTTCCTGAGGGGAAGAATCAAACAAGAGCTATTTAAGGTGAGTCTAGTGTTCATGGACTCCTGTAGAGTTTGATAAAAGAGCCGATCGTGTTCTGACCTCCATTCTTGTGCTATTTTGTCTCTTTTTTTTCAATCTCCAGCTTGGCACAGCTGCCCTGTACTATGTTTATTCTGCCATTTAGGAAGAGATCGAGAAGAACAAGAACCACCCCATGTTTGCCCCATTATACTTCCCCTCTGAGCTTCACAGACGAGATGCCTTGGCCAAAGACCTGGAGTATCTCTACGGTGAAGACTGGGAGAGCAAGATCTCCTGCTCTGCGTGGAGCACATTCACGAGGTGGGTCGTGACGACCCGGTTCTTTTGGTCGCGCACGCTTGGACCCGCTACATGGGTGACCTGTCAGGAGGACAGATTCTAAAGAAAGTGGCTCAGCGGGCCCTGAAACTACTGGTGAGGGAGTGAACTTCTACCATTTTGAGGGCACCCACAACCCCACGGCCTTCAAGAGGCTGTACCGCAGTAGGATGAATGAGCTGGAAGTGAATACTGAGACCAAAAAGAAGCTGCTAGACAAAGCCAACCTGGCTTTTAAATATAATTTAGATGTGAGAGGATTATCAAATATGACTTCCTTTTATTGGTTCGTTAAGGAAGGAATCGTTCACCTTAAAATGAAAATGTGCTTATGATTTACTCACCCTCAGGTCATCCAAGATGTAGATGCGTTTGTTTCTTCATCAGAACAGATTCATTGCATCACTTTACTCACCAATGGATCCTCTGCAGTGAATGGGTGCCATCAGAACAAGAGTAAAAACAGCTGATAAAAACATTACAATAACCCACAAGCAATCCACATGACTCCAGTCCATCAATTAATGTCTTGTGAAGTGAAAGCAAGATGTTAATTGATGTACTGGAGGCATGTGGATTACTTGTGGATTATTGTGATGTTTTTGTCAGCTGTTTGGACTCTCATTCTGACGGCACCCATTCACTGCAGAGGATCCATCGGTTGAGCAAATGATGCAATGCTACTGTTCTGATGAAGAAACAAACTCATCTACATCTTAGATGGTCTGAGGTTGAGTTCATTTTTGGGTGAATTAAGTTATGTGCATTTATGTACATAAAAACATTAATGTTTTATTAATAGTGACTTTTGTACTTCCTTTCTCCATGTTCTTTGTTTTTCCATTAGGTATTCACAGAGCTGCAAAAGATTGGGAAAGACATAAAAGAGGAAGTGCAGGACACTGGCTTTCATGCTCATATGGGTGGAGACATCAGTAAATGCCCCTACTATGCAGACAAAATGGGTGAGGAAGTTGTTAAGGACACTATATTTCTGAATATATTGTTTTGTATTATGTATATTTAAAATGCTTTGTTGTTTTTACTCAACTGCTTCCCTCATTTTCTGTCTAGCGGTAAGTGGAAACACGACCTATGCATGTAATTTTGCCAAGATGCTGCTTTGTCAGTCCACAGTACTGGTGATTCTGGCCACATGGGTCGCTGCTGTCGCTGGATTGGCTGCTTGATACCTCATGTGATCACCTTAACCCGAGTCAGCCAATAAGAAATGAAAATAGGAACAGCTGGGCTTCAAAGTGGAAATCTTTCACTCACTGGGTCACTTTGTGAAAATGTTGCTGCCGATCTTATAAATATGTAAAGTCACTGACTGAACTTTTTATCCATGCCACATATTTGTAGTAAATACAATGCTTTTACAGGAAATTCTTCATTCAGTTTTCCTTCTCAGTCAAGAGTGTGAGCACACTTTCAAGGGCATGCTTGAAGACATGCTTAAAGAATCTGGCCAATGGCCATTTGTGATTGCAGTTGCACATTGTAATACACATTTCCATAGAAAACATATTCAGGTATGTCACTGTGGTGCAGTGAATAATTCATAGGAGTGCTCTCAGTTCAGATTTTTATGTCCACAGAGTGTGGCTTTATAACCAAGGGAAAACATAGACATTTTACATTTTGTACTTGAGGTTATTGTATTGTTACCACCCAACCAATCAAAACAGCAAATATGACAAAGAAATGTACAACTCTCATTAGAAGGGTTTTACTCCCGTGGCTCTTTTCTAATCAGTTAAATACAGAGTTCTGGCATGAAACTCTAGATGGCGCAGTCCGATAGGTCTAACTCAATCTGACCTAATGACATCATTATCACATGGCACAGCTGATTGGTTCTCTCCTTTATCGGTAGCAATGAGCTCGCTGCCAACATTCAAATATATGATTAGTGCTTGCCGTAGCAGTGCAGCTTGCTTCAGAAACCCTCCACCTTCCCCAGCTCCACCTGTATAGATCTGCTATGAGGTGATTCATGTACGTACGCTATATGGGGGGTTATTTCATGCATGTTATATTTGCAGCATCAATATGTGTTACATGCTCACAGCAGCATGTTGTGGATGTCTTGGCAGTAGCAAGTCTCTGTACTTGCTCTGCTGCAGCAGCAGCGTGGCAGATCTATTCCGCCAAGACCAAATACATTAACATTGTCATGTACATTACCATGCCAATGCCTCCGAGAGTTGTCATGACAGAACTGATGCTGTTATAGCACTTCCAAATCTCATCTTCAGGGAGGAAAAAAATGAAATATGTAGTGCCCTACAACTGCAAAACACAGTAGTTACACCAACAACAAAACGTGATACATTGTAAACAATATACAAATAGAAAGTGCAGGTAAATAAATGTGATTTCATCCT